ATTCCATTTTATTTCTAATACAAAACAGTAAATCAGTGTAAGGTGATAAATGGGGGAACCGTCTGCAGCTACCTCGCCTCAGAGCTTATTCCTGTGCTGCAGACGTAAGCCTGATGCATCATCGAGACACAAATAAGTGCAGGAGATCCGAGCATGCGGTGCTGAGAAAATGACAGTGAGAGAGTTCTGAGAAGAGCGAGCGATGGGTCAGAAGGAGATAAGGAGAGATAGAGAGACAACTTTCCATTAATCACCACTTGTCCTCCTCTGCATGAGAGGTTGGACAGAAACCACGGAGCCATCACTCAACTGGCAGCGGTTTATTCCCTGCAGCGACACATGTACTTGGAAGTATGACAGCAGGGCTGCATTAGCACGGACACACACAGGTGTGTACATGCACACTGACACACATCAGTGGAAAATACGGTGCACAGACAAACTTTAACTGGAACAGTTCAAAACTAGAGCTACGTGATAAGTAAAGGCTTCCAAGGATAAGTGAGACTAATTGGAGTCTATAAAAACATTTTAAAGGAGACAAATTATCCATAAAAATGTTTGTTTACCAATGTGGCAGAGGTTGTTAGGGGAATCTCTTACGGGTTAAAGAGCACTTTCATACAAATCTGCCTGCTTTACTGGATATACTCTGATTGGTGGTAGTGCTAAAATTATACTTTCTGTAATGGAAAGGAGAGAACTCAGTTTAAAGCTTGAAAGATAAAGCCTTCCAGTGGAGCTTTGTTATGAGAAGAGTCCAAGCGAGACGGTATTTTTTGACTTAATTCTGGAAACAAGATGAAATCTCTGCCTTCATAAATTGTTTTCTATATTTTGCAGATATTTCTAGCAGTGTTGGAACCCTTGTTTTTTTTGTTTTAGAGGTCTTGGTGAAGACTAGAAGGTCCATTGAACCCAGTTGTCATATCATATGTCCTCACAGGATTATCTCAATTTACGATTGGACGCTTTAAATGTTAGACACAAATCTTGAATCTGAGACTGTTGGTGTGGACATGTAAAGGTGTGGTTAGTAACCAAACTGAGACAATCCAGCAGAAGACACATCTTCATTAAAGCTGAGTTTTTTCTAAACTATGAGCCCAAAGCCTCAGGGTTCTGAAGGCAACAGGAAGTGAGTCATCATAGTACCAACACCGACTTGTAGATGCAGAACTGAAGCAGCAGCAGCAGCTTTGACCTGAAAACAGAGGCTGTTGAGGAACCTGAAGCAACAAAAAAAGTAAACTTTGGTACCAACAGCAGTGCAGCATGAACCTACAGGAGTGCTGCTTTTACTTTGACTAAGTGACTCATCACCGGCTGCATATTGTGAAATATTCTTTGCTTCAAGGAGAAAGTGTTGAAGGTGATTTAAGGTGAAGCTGAAGGCAGTCGAGGTCTCGCGACAAGCAAGGCCTGAATCTCAGACATCATGGACTCAGGCTGAACTCAGCCTGTTGGTTTCAGAAGTGAAAGAAAACGTGGACATGCCAATAACATCCACTCATTCTTACAGTCAGCAAACTTCTTTAATAAATGAAAACAATGCCGACTCCTGACTTCATTTTTTACCACTTCCTGTTGAGCTTATAATCCAAATCTGTAGTTTCAACTCTTCTTTGGTAAAGCATGATTTTTGTATTTGAAAACTATGGTTCCATTGAGAATAATACATGGGAATAGAGCAGGATATGTTTAGTTCGCAGCAAGGATAAGACGTTCATCAATTACTATACTCATCTCTATGGTAACAGCAGCTCCACCCTATTTAAAAAAATAAAATAAAATAGCAAAAGAAGAAAGCCAAACCCAAACTCTCAAGTGCTTCAAATGGGGTCCACAAACCAATGCATGAAATCCCGTGGGACCTCTTACTACTCATGTGTGAGATCCAATAAATTCAAGCTGGGAGGAGATTTGGGTGGGGCTGGTTGACTACATTTCGTCGTCTGTATGAGTGAGAGAGTAAGTAATACGATATATATATATATATATATATATATAAGACAAGACAGAACTTTATTCATCCCAAAGAAAATTCTTGAATCCCTTAGGATACTCTTTTGAAAGCAGAGAAACACACACACCACTTACACACACAATGAATCCACATAATTCACAATTATGAGTTTACCCGTGTTCCTATTGTGTATTTTAGCATCACTCTAGTTCCTCTTATAAGTCAAACAAAGAGTAATCATTTCCAGGCTCTCAACAAGGTCTAAACAACTGTGGGAACCAGACGGAGGAAACTATCTGATCATACTAGAAATATCCTTGGCTTGGATTCTGTACATCACCTGGCAACCAAAGCTGATCGTTACAATTAGAGCACAAACATGACACACCTCTGCAGAGGCTCACATGCTGCATGCTCACCTGAGCCAAACCTCAGGTTGTGATTGACAGCCCTGCAGAGCCAATACAATGAAATCTATCAGTGGCCATGACAGTTTTGTAACTTAACCTGTAGCTTTTTTACAAAACAACCCTGACAGCTTCAAACCGCACGTCTGCAGCTTTTATTACTCACTTTTTAAAACCAACATGTTTCACATTCACAGCAAACATCTTCCACAGACAAAAAAAACTTGCCGTCAACTCTGCAGCCTCAGGGCTTTGTACCCCAAAACAGTCAGAGAGAAGTACACACATAAACACAAAGAAACACACACACACACACACACACACACACTTGCGCCACATGTGAAGCGCACCTGCATATTTAACCCCTCACACACCCCTCCCCTGTTGCTAACTCCTGTCCCAAGGGCTTGGGGAGATAAATGAGCTCGTGTCAAACACACACACTGACAGGGATAATGATGAATTACATATATATTAGCAAACGGCCTGAGGACTCACTGCTTTAACACACACACACACACACACGCACACAGGCCCCAGCAAGGGTACAAACTTTCTTGCGCCTAAAATGCGAACAAATACAAAACTGCAAGAGTCTGAGTCAGCTGGATTTGTCTCTCTCACACACACACACACACACACACACACACACACACACACACACACACACACACCTGATGACAGATATTTCCACTTCAGGAGAGCCACAATGCTGAGCTGTGAGCCCAGTGTCAGTCTCTTCCTGTCTGAAGGGGTCAGATGTTAAACACTCGTCAGTCTCTTTAAGCCGCTCCAGAGAAATAAAGAGACAGTGAGACAGAGCAGAGAAAATCGCCCCCCAGTTACTGAACCCTTTCTACCCTTCTGTTCCTCTAAGCTGCATATGTTCAAGGTGATGAAAACTACTAATTGTTCTCCTTCAATCACAGAAAACCGAGGAGACAAAGGATGGAAACATGCATATTAGTTTTACCTCGCAGTGGAATTAATATGCAGCAAAAACCCACATCTTAAAAAAGTGTATTCGACTCATGTCTAGTCATTACACTGAAAGTAAGCTACTTGATTAGTTTCAGAATATGTCAGAATATTGATGTATTAGTCTGATTTCTGGTGGTAGTTTTCTGTGTGGATTCAGGGTTTAAACCGTGAACGAATGAGAGGACAGGCCCAGGTGTGTTACTGCTGCTTCCAATCGGCTCAGCAGTCAGTCAGCACAGCCTTCATGCTAATCCTCCACCATCACTCAACTGGATCTCAGCTCTAATCTCGCCAGGGCCAAAGCTCAGCAGAGGGACGCTCCCGGCTTTAAACTGAGAACCTGACGGCTAATCTCGGCCACAACACCCCTGGGTAACTCTACACTCCCCCCGGGGGGGAACAGCCACAATATCCCCCCCCGGGCCACAGCGATGAGAGAAAGACCTCCTGAATATCAGAGACCCTTCACACCTACAGAGAGGTGGAGGGATAATATGATGGCTTAGTTTTGGGTTTGGATGAGCACGGCTGTTACAAACCCGGGTATGGGCACGTTTTTTGCATGCACAAAGTAATCAAAGAGAAGACAAATCTGTGTCCAGCGCGAGCAGGAGAGCTCTTTCAGCACACTTCTGAGTTAGCTTATTGAACACACACCCCTATTTAAAAGCTTTTAAGATTGTTTGACTTGATATTAGCACCTATTCAAACAGGCAGGATGCAGTTCGTCTTAAAGAGGCAGACTGGCTCGTTTCCAGCTGTTTAAAAGCATACAATAAGCAGTCTGAGGCTGTCATCTGGACCCCCCTTATGGCTGATAAGTGTATGGACCCCGACACAATGACCGGCGATCAGATACATGCAGAAAAAACATGCTACATTCATGCTAAGGTCAGATAATTGGAGAAGGAAACATGTGCGTCATGAATAACATAGTTCTAGAAATGCATGTTATTAACGTAGTTACAGTAACTGAAGTTTATTGATATGGTCTGCATTCCTGTCTTCTGAACGTCACAAAAAGCAGGAAATCAAAAATGTAAAGTGACACAAATACTCCGTCTGGTGATGGCAAAGTCGAGCTGAAACCCCGAATAGATCAACATTTTAGGATCAGAAGGAATCCTTTGATAAACAGCAAATAGACTTGAGCTTGTATAACACTATTCTAGTCTTCTGACTTCTCAAAGTGCTTTTACACCGCAGGTCACACCTACACATTTACTGCCACTGTCACAGTGACGGCAGAGGCTGCTATGTAAAGTGGCCTTCAGTATTACCAGGAAGCATCCCCAACAAAAAAGCAGCGGGAGCAACTTTGGGTTAAGTGTCTTGCCAAAGGACGCATCAGACATGTAGCTGCAGGAGCTGGGGATCGAACCCCCAACCTTCCTGAATTTGTTTGTGCTTTTCGTCTAATATACTTTCCTGAGGCTGGTGCTGCATGCACACTAAAAATCCTTACAAGACAAAAAATACATTTCTTAACACTGTCAGATGTTGCCTGTCAAACATGCAACTACGAGCCAAAGAAATGCAAAAGCAAATCTGTGTGTTTGTCAGGCTACCTTGTGAAGTCGACTTAAACAACCAGTGTATTTGTCTTTAGTGTGGCGGTCAGAAACACAGGAAGAAAGCAGACTTACCACTTCAGTCGGACGGAAGTATTTTGGGTCAACCTTCACGTGTGCCACCCCGGTCTCCTGACAGCGACCGACCTCCTGCTCATCCTTTCCTTCCCACCTGGAGGGACACACAAATCTTAGCAGAAAGGAAGAAGGAACATTTCCCAACCTCCCCCCCCCACAGCTGTTGGAAGGTTCAGCTGTTTGTTTCTCTCTTTCCCTGATGGTTTCTTTTGTGTTTTGTTTCTTTAACGCCTCAAGCAGACACAACATGTCACCTGTCTGTTTGCGGACATCAAAACAGCCTCAGACACACCTTCACCAACAGGTCAGAGTTTTACAGGACCCAGGAGGCAGGTGAATGAGAGGTGAGACCGAGGAGGGGGCTAAGATGTGGCATTTTTCAACAACAGTTAGCTTCTTTAAGAAGAGGCAGAACCAGGGGTGGCCAGGGCCCCCTTAGAATATAGTGACCGCTATAAAATCCTGCACTGTGATTGGGTATTCGCCTTGTCAGAGGCGGGACTTGTTTTCAAATTAACTAATTTGGTTTTGCTACAATAAGCTTAAGCAGGTGTGTTTGCATGACTTGTTTAATGTGCTTCTTTGTGTTGGATTGCACTCACACAATGGTCTTCCCCACATGTACGAAGGCCTTCTCCACAAACTCCCTCACGCTGTGCACCTCGCCTGTCGCTATGACGAAATCCTCTGGCTCCTCCTGTTGCAGCATCAGCCACATGGCCTGAAAGTACACAGAGAGACAGAGACATGAGAGGTTAAACCACAGAGAGAGCATAGAGACAGTCCAGCGCTCCGCACTCGACGCTGCCGAGCTCGGTCCTGACAGACAGGAAGTGAACCCGCGACCTCTGAGCGGGGCACTCGCCTGTACCTCTGTCCTGACGTCACCGCAAGGGGCTCATGGGACGGATACCGTGGGAAAGGAGGACAGAGCACTCCCACAGGTCCACTTTGCTGCTGGCACACGCAAAAAACACTCACATGGCCATAAAAACACATTCACCTATACACGCTAAGAGATTTGCACACAATTGTCGTGGTCAAACAGCTTAAAATGGTTAAGGGAAACAGCGACCAGCTCTGACAAACGTTCACTATATTTCCAACCACACAGCACAGGCAGTATTATTATTAGCCCATATACCCCAGTGAAATATGATATTCTGAGTCTCTTAATGGACCCAGCACTATATTAAACAGGCAACGAGGGCGTCTGTGCGTGGTTTCATAATATTTATGGCGAGCAAGAGCCAACAGGTCAGAGCTGCTGACCTCCGGCGAGTCTAGCCTGATTAGGAGAGAGTGGCTGGGGAAACGAGGACCAACAGAAACACAGAAAAATGCTCACTTGGACATAATCTCACAAATGAAATCAGGACACAAGTTTTATATTATGATTCCAATTCCGATTTATTGTTAAGTAACTAATAGGTCCCTTAAGAATTGCAAACTGGCCTAAAATGCTGCTGCACTGGAACCAGGAAAAGAGCTCATGTTTCTCCTATATCATCTTTTCTGTAAACTCCAGATTATAATTTGAAATCCTTCTCACTCACAAAGCTTTAAATTGGTCAATCAGAACTATCATCGTATCTTAAAGAGCTAACAGTACCCTATTTCCCCTCCAAACCGTTACGCTCCCAGGCCTGCTTGTGCGACCCCGCAGGCCTGCTTGTGGTACCTCAAGTCTCTAAATGTAGTATGGGAGGAAGAGCCTCCAGTTATCAGACCGGCCACCTTCTTTAGTTCTGAGTAGGTTTAAAAATGTTCCTTTATGATGAAGCGTATAGTCAGGGCCGGCTAAAGCTTGGACCAGTCCCGAGTTAATCTGCTATAGGCTCATAGACCAGTTTCCAGCAAGCCTTCCGGTGTGGTTCAGTACAGTTTGATACAGTTCAGTACGGTAAACCCTGAGCTTGCTTGCATTTCCACAGCCAACCGCACCCTTATTTGGTCAGCTATGTAATAGTGACATCATAGCAGCCCAACACAGCGTAGCCCGCTATTGATTAAGTTCATCGATCAAGAAGAACAGGGACACAAAGGGATCCTTTAGGGTCGGATCGGTACCCTTGGCACCCCAACAAAAGTGTACCAAAAAAGTAGGACGGTACAGATCCCTTATTTTGGCACCATTCCCAAATTTTGACGGTAGAAAAGCCAATAAATGGGTACCGTACCGAACCAAACTGAACCGGACCGCTTGGTGGAAACGGGACTTTAGACAGCGGGGGGATTTGATACCCTCTTCTCTTCTTCATCTGTATGCATTCTCCCTCATCTCACAGTTTCTTGTATTATGTTGCACATACCTGCTGCTCTGGACCTGTTTGACTCATTCTGTAATAACTACTTTCATTTCTCATTATTATAGCAATTATTGCCATCCTTTTTATAATTGTGATTAATTATGATTATAGTTGTTATTTTTGTGGGCTTGGTGTCTGAATGTCTTCCTGTCACTCTACCTAACTCTCTCTCTCTTTCTTGTTTCCTTGTAGTTTTCCATTGGGGAATTACTTTGAGGTGTTCTGATCGTAATGCCACAGAGCGAACGCTCTATGTCTCAAGATTACCTTTTGTTAAGATTTGGTGCTTTAGAATAAAAATGTGTTGATGCATTGATTCAAATACATAAAGAATATGTATGATTTACATTTAATTTATAATAATTCTGCTTTTGATTCTTCCATGAATCAAAACCATGAAACATTCCTGCAGACACAAAGTCAATATGTCCTAAAAAAAAAAATACTTCTGTACGTTTTATATAAACACTTAACCACTAGAGTTCTGCTCCAGCCTCTCATATGTGTGATCAGCTTCTCACAGCTTCTATTTCTCCTCTGCAGCACACAAGGATTGATGATGACAGAGCCGATTTCCTTTACTCATGTGACTCAAACTCTCTCTCTCTCTCTCTGATGTGCTCTACTTGGATGTGTTTTAAACATTGGACGTGTTTTTTTTTTTTTCTGTGCCTCTGCCATCCAGCTCCATCAGGATGTTTTATGTGATACAGCTGGAAGAATCAGAGTCTGGCTGTCTCCATTTTTTACACATTTAGCAGATTCTGTGTTCTCTCTGCATAATTACCTCTGTGTGTGTGTGTGTGTGTGTGTGTGTGTGTGTGTGTGTGTGTATCCTGGAAGCTCAAAAGTTTGTTAAACCTCATTCAATATGCATAAGCTGTGTTGTGCAAAGACTCCTATTGTCTAGACTCTAAGATACTGAAAGCTGTAAACTTTATTTATGTTGTTTATGTAAAAGCCAAAATATGGACACAACTAAGAAATGATCAGAGACACATACAAACTTGTGCCGTTTGGTGCAGCTTTTTAAACTGTTTTAAAACGCCCCCGACAAATGAAATGCTTTTCAATTTAAAAAGTGTTTGCTTAAATAAATGCACGCCGTCATCAGTCTTTCAGAATAAAAGCTGTCAATCTGTAAACAACGTCTTCGTGATAATTTTTCATGAAGGAGTTTAAATGGGGGGGGGTAGAGTAGACCAAACAGAGAGTCAGAGGATGAACATGAATATTTATTGAAGTTTTATCGGCAATATGTCCCTCAGACACGGAGAGCAGAATAGTATGCAGATTAATTTTCATGTTTGGGTGATGTGAAGGAATGTCCTCCACGAGGGAACGGCAGGAATGCGTTTATTGAATTTATCCTCTGGACTTTGTTGTTTATAAGGGGGAGGGGGGCGGGGGACTTTTTGTTCAGGAAGGCAGGCCAGGAATTAAAAAGTGTCTGATGGATGTTGCTGGAATATTTTTGTCCTGAAAGATTAGGGCTGTACGATTCTTGCCAAAACATGAACGACGATTTTTCTCCCCGTGTGTTGAGAATCACGATTCCGATTTTTTTTTTTCAACAAAAACATTTATAACACTCAAATGAAAACACATATGCTGTCTAGGATTTTCAACACAACAATTAAACAATATCTGGACTTCTACTAAAAGGTCTCCTGAAAATAAATCTGTTTTCCTATTTTATTTTAGAGCACTTAAAGCAAACCAGGCAGAATCACAGGCTGTAGTCTTTGGCCTGATCAGTGAATTCAGTGTGTGTTTTGCTTCACGCTATGTGAGTCTGAGTGATAAAGCAACTGGGATAGTGGTGAAGCAAACAAGTGAACATGTGAATTGTTGTGAATGCAGAGAGAATATGAGCAAGGGAATCGCCGCCATTTAGAAATTAAATCGCGTGAGTCGAGATCTGGATTTTTTTTTGTGCATTGCATATAGGGAAGCATAATCGTAAAAACAATCAGTTCTTTTGTTTCCTACTTGTGCATTAAAGTACTGAATGTGGTTATAAACTCATGCCTCTGAGACACACACACACACTCCAGCAGTGATGGAATGCTCCTCCTCGGGGAGGCGAGGCCGTCCTATCTCAGGATCGTTCTGGGTCACCTGACCGCTCAGCGCTGATGGCTCCCCTGAGCCTGACCTCTCACCCCGCGGCCCCTGATGAACACACCAGATTCTCACACGGCTACATGAGCCAATAATAGCACCTCGCTGTGTGAGTGACGGCCAAACAAACGAATCGAAGCGTGTTTCCACTGCCGGAGAGACGCCCGAGTCTGTGTTTCCAATTGTTTCCACATTTTGTGCTCGTTTGAGTGTGGAGAATTGAATTATCTCACAAATTGCTTTTGTCTTTATGTCATTTCTTTTATTCGCTTGCAGAGCGTCTGTTGAATTTTCTGGTAAACTATCAAAAGCTGTGTTTACATTCAGTGTTTGTGTCAAACAAACTGGATTAGTGCATTGTTTACTTCCTGTTAAAATGATAAAATGTGCAACAACCATCTTTCTCTGATTACTTTTTTTTTTTTTTTTTACAAGATAGTGGTCGTGTTTATGTTCTTTTTCTGTAAAAAAAACTCTCAGACAGCTCAGCTGAGGAGTCCAAAGTAATATCCACCTTATGACATCACAAATTGACCTTTGTTACCGTTCCTTTGAGCTGTTTGACGTCAGTTTGGGAACAACTTCCTGTTTCTGGGCTAATTCATGTCCTAACCTTCCAATCTACCAGAAGGCCTTACTGTATTTCAAAATAAAAGCACACAGCAAGTAAAGTACTCTAGCTTAAGACAGTAAAACTTCAAAATAAAAGAAAAAATCTAAGACATCAGCGGAGGAGTCCAAAGTAATATCCACCTTATGACATCACAAATTGACCTTTGTTACCGTTCCTTTGAGCTGTTTGATGTCAGTTTGGGAACAACTTCCTGTTTCTGGGCTGAATTATGTCCTAACCTTCCAATCTACCAGAAGGGCCTTACTGTATTTCAAAATAAAAGCACACAGCAAGTAAGTACTCTCAGCTTAAGACAGTACAAAAGCTTCAAAATAAAAGCCTCACAATTTTGTCTTTAAATGCAAAATAATGGAATTTTAAACATGCAATTAAAATGCGATTAATCACAATTACATATTTAATTTTAGGAATTATTTAAGAGACCTAATTTATACACATACTAGCTTCACAAATACATCTGTTTCTTTGTGTATTTGAAGTCTCATTAAATCACCAGACTGCTGACTTTATATATGATTTAGTTTTCTTCAGATGAGAACAAAGAAAAATAAAAAAAAATTAAACCAACTTCCTTGTTTTGTTTCCAAGATTTTTTTGTCTTTAAAGAACCAAAAGTGAAAGATTAAAGGTGATCTGTTGGCAGCCTGGTGGGAA